ACATGGACTGAAGCCATATGGCATTTGTGTCAATGGAAGTATTGATGGTTTTTCGAGGAAAATAATGTGGCTTAATGCCTACACAACAAGGAGTGACCCAAAGTTGATTGGAGGTTATTACATGGAAGTAGTACAGTGTTTAGGGGGCTGCCCTTGGATTGTGAGAGGCGATCTTGGAACCGAAAATGGCCATGTCAGAGGCTTCCAGCGTTTCCTCTTCCCCAATCCCCCAGACAGCACCCTTGACAGTTACTTGGATGGAGCCAGCACCGCCAATCAAAGAATTGAATATTGGTGGGGTTTTCTTCGCAGCCAGTGCGTGGAGTTCTGGTTATCCCTGTTTGGAGACCTCCGAGACAGCGCGTTCTTTGATGGTGGATTTCTGGACAAAAGCCTCCTTCAATTTTGTTGCATGGGACTCATCCAGGTGAGTTCATGAATTATAATGTTTTCATATATGTGTGCCTGTGTATGTGAGAGGGAGAGGGGAGGCAGAGAGACAGAGAGGAGGGAATGTGGAGAGAGAGACAGGGAGAGGAGAGAAAAAGATAGAAAGGGGGGGGGGGGGGGGGGGGGGGGGGGGGGNGAGAAAAAGACAGATAAAGGGAGAGGAGAGAAATGGAAAGGAGGTAAAGATGAGAGAGAGGGGGACACAGAGAGGAGGGGAGAGGGAGAGAGAAGAGAGTTAATGCTCTAATTTAGTGCTCATTTAAGTTGACATGTATGTACAGTTCTTCCTAAATGTATTTGTGTATTCTTTTTAACAGGATGAGTTGGATGACACTGCACAAGTTTGGAACGCATACACCATCAGGCCCTTAAAGAACATAAACGTCCCCAGCGGTCGACCTAATGTGATGTATGTCTTGCCAGAACTTTACAGGACAAGAGACTTCCTTTCCCCAGTTGAAGGTGAACATGTTCAGCTGTGCAAAAACCAATGTGTCTTTCACCGGACCATACCATGCAATCCGGATTTATATGAACTATGCAATATCTTTATGGCCAAGTCCCATCTGACTCCACCAACAGATCCATAGCAGGCTGTGAACTTGTATATGCACCTAAGAGAGGCCATCAGTGTATCTCTGTAAGTCACGTATCTGTCAGTCAAGTACTGAGCTGTGTCCTGTAGGGACCAGAGAGTTGAGCTATTGGTATAGTATATTGTATTTTTCCTTGCTATCATTGCTGTCATTAACCATGCTATATGTTTATGTTCTATTATTTTAACTGATTTGATTTGATTTGATGTATGTTTGCCTTGATGTATGGGTCAAAATACAACACTATTGATCCTCAGCTGGTGTTACTTTAGAGATAAAGCCTATCAAAAGCCAAATCAACCAGTGTAAAATTCGTAACTAGTACCAAAACAAACAGTCCATTTATCACTTAATTAATTGGTGGGAAATGAATGCCACAGTTTTGATAACTATTAATTTGTAACTGTTACAATTAAAATGTTTCTAGTCTCTAAATGTGAATATTCTGTTTTTCCTTAATATTTTATGATAGGAGAACATCTTTGGCTTTTGAACTACTGGTTAGGCAAAGCGCTATTGACGTTAAGAATAAACATGCTGTCTTGGTTACTGACTTCATCTGAAACTGGCCTAGAAATAAACTTAAGTTCTTAACATACTATTGGATGTTTAAAAACATTTCTGCAGACATCAGCCCTGTTGAGATTTTATGAACCTACCTGTAAGATGACTCCGATTCTACTACTACTACTACTGTAGTAGTACAAACATCAAGTGACATCTAGTTGACAGAAATGCACAGTCAAGATATCTGCATGAACAACCTATGTTGTGAAATATCAGAGAGGGGTAGAAAAAAGAACAAGCACTTGATATTTTTGTTAACAGTGGAAATATTTTTATTACTAATCATTCTGTATTGTTTCTCAGTGTGAAATCCTGGCTTGTAACCCTGAACAAATAAAAAATATGTCTTATCAGTTTGGTTTTTTAATTTAAGACCAATTGAGAATTTGAAAATATGAAAAAAAAAAACACGATCCATAAAGGTCACATCATGGCAAAAATGCACACACAATCTATTTCTAAAAAAGATACAATGTTATAATGCAGTGCTTAGGTAAGACAATAATAAATGACAGTAGTATAATGGAAATATTACATAATCATTCTGAAGGCCAACTGAGCATAGTAGGGCTTTCCAAGCCACATTTCACACAGGCCACACCAGCCTGTAGATTTTGTAAACATTAACTTAAAACTGTTTTCCCCTGAATAATCAAACAGGTATGACTCTTTAACACCAACAATTAACAATTCCACCAGTGATGGACAACTCTGTAATCTTTCTTAGCAACAAGCTTAACCATGAAGCTCATGTTAGGGTCACACTGATGGAAATGAAAGCTGCAGTCATTTTTAAAGCATAATTAAAAAAAAATTAAATCTATGTGAAAACTATGGTGGTGTACTATTGCACAAAAAGGAAATAGAATTGCAGACTGCTCTACACATGGTTAAGTGCATCAGATGTTTCAATGACAAAATAAACAACAAAAACAGTAAAGAATTTTAAATAAAACATAGTCAACCATACAATAAAGAGGCCATTACTATGAGGCCTGATCAGGACTGCTCTCAAGTTCAGAGGATGTCCATTTCAAAATAGTTACTGGACAGGATGTTGTCAAACTCTGTGCGAAATTCAGGGTAAGAGCTGTATGTGCACGGTACTTCAAGGGTAGCACCACATGTATGAGCAACAGGCCTTCTGTTTAGTCCAGTTTCAGCATTAAAGCATACCATAATTTTGTCAACACATATGACAGAGGAACCAGTACAGAAATGCAGGATTTTTTCAGCTTTGGTTTGGTCAGCATTTTTCACATAACGTTGGAGATGGTTAAAGGTTGCCTGCTCTCTCTGAGACAGCACCATCTTTGTTGTTTCAAACAGTTGCAACACTCTTTTGCCTGTGGCTTTCTTTGACTCATACAGAGACAACACACTTTCCTTGTCTGATAGTTTCTGCTGTACAAGTGCCATGGGTGTGGAGAAGTAATCCACTATATATTATGGCTCTTGTAGAAGGGAACTGCCCATTGGTCCGACAGCCCATTGGTTCGACATCCCATTGTTCCGACCATATTAAACCCATTGTTCCGAAGTCCGTTCCGAAATCATGCCCTGTGGTTAAGGTCTGGTTAGGTTTAGGCACAAAAACCATTTGGTTAGGGTCAGGAAAAGATCATGGTGTGGGTTAAAATGAAAAAGAAAGTGACAAACACATAAGCCGTGAGCCTGCTTCACCTCAAGCCTTTCCCAGCTGACCCAGAGCCGGTCGTGGCGCACCATACGCCCGCTGCGAGCTGTTCAGCACCACGGACAGTCGGACTAATGGGATGTCGAACCAATGGGCTGTCGGACCAATGACATGGACCCTTGTAGAATGGCTTTGTGAGCCATTGTTTCTATGGCAGGTTGCATGCTGTTCTTTGGAGGTAGGAAATGAGAACCCATCCTAAAGAGGTCAAGCAAGTCCCCAGATAACACACCGTCTTCTGGCCGACGTCGGCAAGAGGACGACACATCGGCCCTGAATTTATAACGTCTGACAAGCATCGGCTGCATGGGCGGATATCTTTAAATTTAATACTCTTTTGTCCCAGCTCATCAAACGTCTCTGTAATGTCGGCTTTGGGTCGGCCCAGTGCCGTAGAATGTCTGCCCACATACGGAAGTCGCCACTGAAGGCGGAATTTCATCTCCGCGGTGTTTGTTTGGAACTGAGCTCGCAGGACACAGCATCTCATCGCAGTTGGTTTCAGGTAAGCTCTACTAGAATAAATTGGCAGAAAATAGCTTTGTTGTTTCTTCTGTGACCGTTAAAAGAGGTTCCTGGTGAGTGGCGAAGCACGACTGGGTGTATATAGCTTAGCACAGCTCCCCACCAGCTAATCTTTCGTTAGCTGTTAGCTACTTTAGCGGTTTAGCTCATGTTAGTTAAGAGGCTATAACTGTGGTGTTTTCATTTTATTTTCCCTAGTTGACGTTATCTGCTCATCTGGTTATCGTGAACACTCGTTTTGGGTTAAAGTGGAAGTGCCCAGAGCTGCCACATGTGGTCCCGCGGCCCCCCGGCCTGACCTCCGGGGCCCTGGACGGATGCTCAAGTGTGGGTGACAAGCGCAGAGAGGAGCGCAGAGGTCAAATAGTGAAGTTTAAGGATGCCTTTGGTATGTTGGTAATGTGACTTTATGGGCAATTTATCAGTTGAGGTCTCCTCCTCTGCAAAGCAAACTGACCCGGTGGCTACAGGTAATAGCGCAGTTTTGAAGCCACTGTTTTTCCAAGATGAAGGACTGATTGTTGAGCTGCTGTTAACAGTTAACAGAGTTAACGCCGGATCCCGTTATTTAACAGTTTCCACACTGAATGAAGCAGAGTGACGGACCCAAAGCCTTCAATCTGGCTGAAAGACAGCTGAAATGCTAAAAAAATAATACAGTGGTGAAGCTGGAATTTGTTTCTTAAAGTTATGTGCACATCATCTTTTCTGTGTCTTGCAGGCTGCCAGGAGAAGCGGACTGGCCGTCAGATATTGTTTGTGGAAATTTGAAAATAAAGTTTGTCAAATTGACTTTTGTCTCTTCATTGTGCACACTTACACACGAAATAGGGTAACAGACAGCTATTTTTGAATGTTAGCATTAATTTCTCACATTGAATGGTGAAATAGTTGTAGTTTGAAAGGTCCAACCTAAATGAATAAAGGTCTTAGTTAACGAAGCATATTAATATTAATGAAGGAGCGCCTACTGAGCGCAGCCTTTTTTTTTTGATCGTTTGAACGTCGCGTGGTGGTCATTTTCGATTAAAGGCCGACGTCTCAGCGACGTCTTGGCAATGAGCAAACGCTCTCCCTGCTACGTCTCAACGATCTAAACTTGATACATCGGGCCGATGTCGGCCAGATGTATGTGTGCTATCTGGGTCCTCTTTATCACTTTCCTCCATTGTGCCCTGAAGAGCCTTCTCAACAGCTGATCTCTCAACAGGAGGAAGGTAGTTGAGAAATGATGTCATCAGAATGTCTACATCAACTGAGTCAATGCCATGGATGCAGGCTAAAATGAAAGCCTTTGATAGCCTCACTGGCATGACACCATGGTCTAATAATCCTTTCACCCAGATCCGTCCAACTGCTTGCCATTCAGCCTCACAGAAATCTGGCCTCAGCCTTGGCACTCGCTCTGTTTCCCCTTCACACTGTTCAAGAAACTGTTCCCAGAATGCAGTGTAAACCTCCCTTGACACTCTAGCATCATCAGTAGCTTTTTTCATTTACAAAGTCCATCTGTAGAGTCAAATTTATTATGCTGCTGTCCATAAATACACCCAAAAGATCTTCAACAACCTTTATCCTACAAATTGATGCACGTCGTGTGCTCTCTGGATTTCCTGGGTAGTCAGGTGAGGTTGATGGGGAAAGCAGGCTGCTTGAAGGTGAGGGCAAATCTTGTGGCAAAAGATTCAGTCCACTGTCCTGTGAGAAGAACAAAACATCCACAAAACAAAAGAGAGTTTAAACAATGAAGCAGAGGTGAAAATATCCTAACTTTTAGTACGTTTGTGTGAAGGTCAAAATAATACTGCATCCTATGTTTCCCATAATGCAACTCAAACTCCCCAACCACCCATGAGACCTTCTTTCAAACTGCACACCTCCAGTTTACAACATAGGCTTTCTATTAAAAAATTGTTGTCTCCAATCCCAAGACAAGGTAACTTCAATATACATCATCACAGTTACTTTTTCAGACCCATCAGCGCTCCTCCAGAGCCTCACGGGACATTAAACAAATGTTTTTAAAAGCTGAGCACTAGAGAAGACTGACCTACCACACCTTCAGAAAATGGTATGCTCAAAGGCTCCATCATATCACATCCAAACAGTTATGTAAAATCATACAGTAGTTTAGAGGATGTGTTCAGGGTTGCTTGCAGTGATGCATCTTACCTGTGCAGTTTGCACTGCCTCCCCATGTATGGACTGCACAGCTAGTGTAGGCAGGTCATTAGCTGAGGGCAATGGGAGTTGGAAAGCCTGCATAGTCACTCCATTCATCTCAGCACTCTGAAGAATGAATGAAACATAATGTATTAAATGACAGGAGACACTTTGACCCTAAAGTCTATGATGTGATTGCAGACTGTAATTTATAAAAGTCTTTCAAATTAGTCTTCTACATCACCCTATCTTCTAGTTAAAACCAGGAACACCCATGAGATAGTCATAAAAAATCCAAATAGATTTTGGGAAATGGAAAAGAAGACAAAAACCTCTAAAATTACAGAAACAGAAAAGCATCATAAAGTCACAAATCAATGTTTATTTGTGCTGCTGCACAATCTCAGGAATCAATTCAAAGGGACTCTGTTGACTTATTTGTTTTTAAGACAAGTTGTGCATGACATAGCACTATACATTAGAAATAGAAGTTTGGGAAAAATATTTTGATATAGAAATTTGATATAAAAAGGGAGAATTTTGAGATTGTGTGGAAGCAAACATGCCTGACTTAAGAGAGTAAAATTGTATCTTAAAGAGAATTTCCTCAGGTTTTCAGCAGCTATTATTTTGATTTTTTGCTATTTAAACTGTTCTGAAGTAGCAGCATATAAGTAGTAGTATAAGCAATGTGATGTTAATCAATTATTGCTGTGGCAAAATGAAGGTCTAAATAAACTAGGCGTGAACTAAGATTGCAGTTGGTACAGTAAGCATTGCCCACACTGTAGGCCATTTCATTTGTGTGGGAACATAACAGTGCTTATGCCATAAAAAATAGGACGTAGTTAATTTTTTTGAGTCGGGATGGACAATTGAATTGTTTCATACAATCAAATTTGAAAAAAGAAAGAAAATATTTTACTGACTTTAAGTAACAGTACATTTCACTCTTTCTACTGGTTTAACCTGTATTAGTATTTCTACCTCCTTACCCCAAAACATTCCTGATCTTATCACATTATAATTACCTGTGTGACATCCTCACTGTTGACGTAATCCAATGTGATCATGACTGTCTCATCTCCATCTGCTCTGCCAAGGTCCTCTTCTGGATCCCATACAACTGTATCTGCCTCGTCTACTCCTGGAACCTCTTCAAAAGTAAAATGATAGATGTGCTCAGGCTCTGTTTGTGGAGAGACATTAGGGACTGCTCTGGTCAGGTCAATAATTTCAAAGCAGGAGTCAGGGAAATCATTAAAAGGCTGGAGATGATTCCAGACTTCATCATGATCACTTGTGTTGGTGTCCTGCCCATGGCCAGTGTGAGTTTTTTTAATGTCTGTTGGGGCTGAATGAGAGGGATGTGATTTTCCTGGATCTTGTGCTGTCACAGTCTCAGATTTTGTTCTTTGTTTTTTGGATCTTGGTTGCAACTGGAAATGCATATTCTGCAACAAATAAAAGACACATTTTCACAATTATTGTCAGCAGTAATTTAAAATCATGGAATGGATGAACATATTTAAGATCAAATGGTGTGCAAAAAATACATATGGTTCAAAGAAGCTCCACTAAAACCTATTAGGAAATATACAACATGAGCAATATACAACATGAGCAATATTATTAGATATTCTTACATCTTCCCATACATTGGCAGCAAAGTAGTAGGTGATATTTCTCATAAAAAAAAAAAGTTTCTTACTGGTGAGAAAATAGGTGTTTACCATTGTTGGCACACAATCTCACTCTGTGTTTTATGAAATACATGTGCATTATCTTTTAATTAAGTTATTACCTGAAGTTTAATCTTCAAACAAAATCTCCTTCCATCTGTATTACAAATATTGTTCCTACTGCCGCAAACCTGTCAGATGAGTGTCCATGAACCAGTAGATCTGTAATCGAATCATCTGCATCAAGGTGAGATCCATCCTCAGTCAACCGTAAATCTGCTCCCTCAGTGATGCTGACAGATAAATCCTCAGATAAAGAATCTTCATCCAAGTGAATCCACTTCAGATGAAGACTGATCTGTTGAAGGTCCTTCGTCTTTTGTGCAAATATAAAATCTAAGCAGCTTCAGTTTGGTTTGTTCATACAGTCTGCCAACAGACTCATCAAAAGGAATATGCTTTCTTTTAAAATCACAGACCTCAAAGGTAAAGTCATCAGCTTGCCCTATGGTTGAGTGCCCATTTGGGAAAAATAGCTCCTTTCCTAGCTCCAAAATCTGAGCAACAGTTGTTGTTTTTTCCACAGTTGCATGTCTTGTTCCTCTGCCATTTTTGGTCCTCACTTGATGGTATTCATAACTGTGAAAATGAAGCCATCCAATTTCAATCTTCCTGGAAGTCTTTTCTACTGCAGTATTTCTCTGTCTTGCCATCCCATCACCTGGATATTGGAGCACACCTAATGTACCACACAGCACACCATTTGTCCTTGATCTCATTTTCCGAGTTTCTATTTTATCTCTTATCTTTGTATAAGAGTCTCTCTCTCACATTGTTTGTTGACAGAAGGAAAGGGCAGCTATTCTGTCACCATATGAAGTGACATATTTGGCCATTTGCTCATCAGTCATAATGGAAATTACTGCCTTGTCAACCTGCAAACAGAAAATATTAAAAGAGATACTTGAAATGTTTACTTTGAACATGTACATCTAGACAGCCTCTACAATATGTGTTTCTTGCCATGGCATCCACAGTTACCATGGTAACCACTTTTGTGGCATAAAAAGACACACAGCTTGACATAAGGCAAAGTGAAATTCAACATCTGTAACCCTAACGACATATGGTTGTTGGACTGGCATAGCTTGACGTTAGAGCGCTAACATTACAGCTAGTGTAACATTAATGCTAACTCCCCTTTTCCCCAAGTTAGTTTCTACTGTTATTCCAAGCTCTGTGTTGTTACGCTGACTTATTACGTTACTGAATGAATTCTATGCCCACCTTGTCTCTTTTCATGTGCATGATGTCCGCTTGAGGGACCTCTCTCTCTCTCTCTCTATGTCTCCTTCTGTTTGCTGATTCCCAAATGGCCAAGCGACCAGACGATAAACAATCTTCTGTACTTTTGCGAGATCTCGCAAAAGTTTTGCAAGATCTCGCAAATGTTTTGCGAGATCTAGCAAATGTTTTGCGAGATCTCGCAAAAGTACATCTTTTTTTTTATTTTTTTCAACCATCTATTTTTTTTCCCTTCCATGTCCCTTTAGGGGCTCCGTAGGTATTAGTCATGATACCTATTGGTACACAAAACTGTTAGATCGGCCCATTAGTCATGATTGATTCTGGGCTGGACCAATTACAGCTGCCAATCAATCAATCATACAGAGAGAGAGCAGATGACAAAATGGAGAGCAGCAAGAAACGCAAAGGAGGTGCGGAAAAAATAAGAGAGAAAAAGAGACAAGCCCTTCAGGAAGATGCTGCCAAATGTGTTAAAATAACACAGATGTTTGCTGGCTATGGCGGAGCTTCTTCAGCAGCAGCATCAATGGCCGCAGCCGCAGGTAATGGCGGAGGTGGCCGTCAGGTGGATGAGGTGAGGGGGAGGCAGGAGGAGGAGAGACCCGCGGCCGCCGCATATTACGACGGCACAGGCGGTGCGACTGGAGGGGAATTTGAACTTCAGGTAAGAAGTGATGAACTGCAGTCTACCTGGGTCAGATATGAATCAAGTTTGGTTGATAGTTTATTTTCGTTGTGCTTGCTAAATTTTAACACAGCATAGTTATGAGTAGGCCACGTTAGCTCAGTTAATAGCACTAGCTTGATTTTAACAATTTAGCTAGCTGTTGAGCAGCATGACAGGGTTTCTCTACTGCTGGGCTGTTTCTATGATGTTATACTAGTGATAGTGATCTTAGTGCTTCAGTAATTTGATTTTTATTCATTTAGTTAGTTAAGTATAGTCTTTATTAGTTAGGTAGTTAAATATTTCAATGTTTATTAATTGATATAAGTGCACTATGCAGTAATTCTTTACTCAGAAACAGCTAAAGCTCAACAGAGCAAAAATGTTCATGTAAAACCAAATGATTAGGCTAGTATTCATCATAAACCCTCTACACTTGTAGATATAATTTAAATTGAATCAAATTAGGATTTGCCAGGAGATGTGATGCTGCTTATTAACATAAAAGTGGCTTGGAGTTAAAAGTAACTACTTAAATGTATTTGTCTTTTATACATAAATATCCTCTTTATTCTAGATAAGTGTTTTTATCTTATTCTTTTTTTTTTTTTTTACTAACATTTAACAGCAAACTCTTGTGGACAATAATTACCTGTATTTTTTTTATTGTGGGCATGTTTCCGTTCAATTTAAAATATTTTTCGGTTAAATGTTCTTGTGGGCCTTGGCTAATTTCTCAGGGAAAAATGCGGGCCTTGAGGTTGTAACTATGATATGGCATGAGGATGGTATGGGGCCACCCTAGATTGCATTTGTTACATTATTTTTTTCACCTGGTTTATGTTTGTTTTTATTAAACAATTATGCGTCCATTAGCTATATTACTGGTTATTGTAATGCAGCTTTTTGTTACCTTGTTATCAGGGAACTCCTCAAAACCTCAACAAATTGTGTCAGTCCTCATATATTACACCAGATTGATCCACCATCCCCAGTGGAGCAGTGTGTGAGAGAGAGAGGAGACAGAAGAGCAGGAGAGAGAGGAGACGGAAGAGCAGGAGAGAGTGACAGAAGAGCAGGAGAGAGAGACAGAAGAGCAGGAGAGAGAGACAGAAGAGCAGGAGAGAGAGAGACGGAAGAGCAGGAGAGAGAGAGCCAGGGCATAGACTACTTTGCTCGCCCTGAGCCCACCATATTACAGGCATTCTTAGATCACCACCCACAGCAGAACACCAGTTGTGATGAGGGTGTTCACCTGTAAAGATGGCACTAGCAGGAAGTGGCTCACTTATTGCAAAGAACGCCATTTATTGTTCTGCTTTGTGTGTCTGGCATTTGCAAGGAGGACTGATACCAGCGCATTTATTACAGGCATGAGTGACTGGCGACATGTACATCTGCGCACAGAGGAGCATGAAAAGAGCACTGCACACCAGACCTGTGCTGAAGCTTTTTTGTTAAGGTGCTCAAAAAGCAACATCAGCAGCTTGTTCGCTGGCAGTCAGATATCAGCTCATAGGGAACAAGTGAAAAAGAGACGCCAAGTTTTGGAGTGAGTAGTGGATGTGGTCAAAGTGCTTGGGAAGAGGGGGCTGAGCTATAGGCAGGTGGAGAATGAGGCCGCATACACTTTGGATGATAACACCATAGAACATGGTAACTTTTTGGAACTGATTGTGTTATTAGGCATGTATGATATCTGCCTTTGAGAACATTTGGACGACTGTGTCGAGAAAAGCTTGCATCAGTCCAGTGGATCAAGAGGTAATAATGATAATAATAATAATAATAATAATCTTTATTTATATAGCACCTTTAAAAACAGAGTTTACAAAGTGCTTTGACAGACAAAGCAAAAGCAGTGCAATGCAAAGCAAAGACATGATACAGAAAACAATAACAGATCTGACCTTAAGAAGACGGTAGCCAAAGACAAAGAAAAACAATAAAGAGGTGATAAAAAGATTAAAAGACAATAGAAAGATGACCGAAAGACAACACTACATAAAAGCAAGTCTGTAGAAATGGGTTTTAAGAAGTGATTTAAAAGAAGTTACTGATTCTGCGAGCCTTATCTCCTCAGGCAGGTCGTTCCAAAGTCGAGAGGCCCTGATGGCAAAAGCACGGTCACCTTTAGGGCTCATTTATGCTCAACATTAAATATGAATCCGGATACGGACGGAGCCTTCTGTCCGTGCTCTGCGTTCATTTCGTCCATATTTCTGCACGTTTCCATAAAGCTTACGGATACGGGCCAAACGGAGCAGTACCACCGGGAACCGTGGGGGCAGTGTTGCTGTCACTACCCGATACGTAGCTCTAGTGAGACACGAAGAAGAAATAACAATTCAATTTCTCTCATCGGCAGTACTAGAGAAAAGAATTTTCCGTCTTCCAGTCGCGATATATTTAACGGCCTCACCGACCAACACCTCCTACAACGCTGCCTCTGTTTTTGTCTTTTATGCAAGAGGTACATTATCAATATCTCCTCCACAGTCGCCATGTTTGTTTTTGAGTTTGTTGTTGTCATAAACTTTTGACGCTGGGCTGCCTCCTGGTGGATATATTGGTTAACATCCATGCCAACATAAAGGGTGCATGGAAGTATGTGGGCAGTGATGGTAACATCGTTTGAAACAGACGTATAGATTTTCGTACGTAAAGGGAGCATAAATGAGCCCTTAGAGTTAAGCCTCGACTTTGGAACAGCCAGAAGGGCCCCACCTGAGGATCTAAGACTGCGGGCTGGCTCGTACGGGGTCAGCATATCTGTTATGTAGCTTGGAGCCAGACCCAGACGTGCTTTAAAAGTTATCAGTAAAATCTTAAAATCAATTCTAAAATGAACAGGGAGCCAGTGGAGAGAAGCCAGAATTGGGGTGATATGATGTTGTCTGTTAAAACCAGCAAGAAGCCTAGCTGCTGCGTTCTGAACTAGTTGGAGGCGAGAGAGGGATTTTTGGGTTATGCTGGAAAGGAGGGAGTTGCAGTAATCTAATCTGGAGAAAATTAAAGCATGGATGATTTTTTCAAGGTCAGAATGGTAGAGCATTGGCTTAATTCTAGAAATGGTTCTAATTTGGTGGAAGCAGGACTGGACAACTTCTTTAATGTGTGGTTTGAAACTTAGATCTGAATTGAACAATACTCCTAGATTTCTGGCAGTGGGCTTCATGTAGGTGGATAGGGGACCAAGACTGATGGGTTTTTTTGGATTAGGGGGACTGAACAGTATGATTTCTATTTTTGAATTGTTGAGTTGAAGGAAATTTTGTGCCATCCAACAGTTGACATCGCTGAGACAATCTACAGCAGCAGCTAGGCTTCTTGGGTCACCGGGTCTCAGGGGAAGGTATATCTGTGTGTTGTCTGCATAGCAATGAAAAGAAACGTTGTGTTGTTGAATGATTTGGCCAAGTGGAAACATATAGATGGAAAATAAAATTGGACCTAAAATTGAACCTTGTGGTACACCACTGACAATGTGGGCTACGGAAGAAGTGAAATTACCACTGGTGACCGAGAAGGTTCTTTCTAAAGGGTTAGAATAAAACCAATCAAGTGCAGTGTCCTTGATGCCCACCCAGGTCTTAAGACAGTAAACTAAAATAGTGTGGTCTACTGTGTCAAAAGCTGCACTTAGATCTAAAAGAATTAAAATTGCGCTCTCCCCCGTCATACATTTTTTGTGACGTCTTTTAAGTGGCGAATTTGTCAGAGCTGGAAAGTGTGATTGTCCACAACTCCATCATAACGGCCCTGTTGATGCTTCCTCATCCAGTAAACTTGTCCCCTGGATGAAACCTTTGAGCTTGGGGAAAAGGAAACAATCCTAAAACACCTCCCAACTCACCTGACCTGGCTCCAGGTGATTTTTGTGGCACCAGGTGAGTAGGGAGGTGTTTTAGGATTGTTTCCTTCTCCCCGAGCTCAAAGGTTTCATCCAGAGGACACGTCTGGATGCGGAAGCATCAACAGGGCCGTGACGATGGAGCTGTGAAAATGTATGTTGTCACAAAAACGACCCCTTAATGTTTGTTATGATTTCCCAAAACTTAGTTAACATTTCTCACCTGTGTACTGGATGTATGGGCTCCAGCAGATTGACCCAACCGACCGGACGCCATCATCTCAAGCAAAACGGACACTTCGCTGCGTTCACAGTGCTATGTGGAAATCGGACATATCAGCACTTAAAATGTGGCTGTTGAACTGCAAAATCTGGCATAATTTATCACTCTTATACCGCAATTGGTGCTCAGTACTGTCTAAAACAGATTTCTAAATGGAAGTTTATCACTGGCATCAATTTTTACACTGCCAGTCACATGAATATGGTGTATATAAGTGTTGAGTCAGAATTTTTTTAGTTCCTAAGTTCACTGAAGGCACTGTCACTCATGATTCCACACCCCTCTCAGTTGATGCCACGCCCCCCACGCCACATCAGGGTCGAAAGTCTGAAACTGAAAAAACAGATTTGAAAGTGAATAAAATAAGATCTGAATCTGAAAAGATAAAACATGCAACTGAAAAAAATAAGACCTCAAATGTTAAAATACATATGGAAGTGAAAAGTGAAAATAAATTATTCATTCAAAAGAATTACCAAAGTGAATCAAAATTATATTTAACCTGAAAAAACGTTTCATACACTTATTTTTGTTTTGAATACAACGTTTATACCAATCCAAAGCTCTGAACCCAGGTTGCACCCACCAGCTGCACTCGTAAAGGAGCTTACCCCCCCCCCCATAAAAGGTTTAGCAAAACAGGAAACTTCCCCCTAAGAACTGTAAGGTAATGACCTCACAGTGTGAAGAATTGCCCCCCAGTAAAGATTTCTAAATACTTCCCACAGATTGTAGCCTGTGTCATTGTTTGATACCCTACAGAGCAAATGTTTTATAAAAACTGACTTGGGTACCCATCAGGGCCCGGCTCTTTACCTGTCATCCTCCGAATTGCATTATCTTTTTCATCTGCAGTCACTGGTCCCTCTAGGCTATCCCTATCTGCCCCCTCTAAGGACGGTATCTCCAGTTTTTCAAGAAATCTCTCCACCTGCTCCCTGTCATTTATTTCTGAAGTATACAAATCCTTATAAAATGATTTAAAATGGTCAGTAATACCCTTCTGATCTAAAATTTTGTTGCCCAGATTATCCCCTATCTCTACTATCATACCCGCTGCTGCTGATTGCTTCAACTGATGGCTCAGGAGTTTACCTGCGTGTTCATCATGCTCGTAAAAATCCTGTCTTGACCTAAGATAAAAATCCTCCTCACGCTGAATCATTAAAATATCATATTCAGTCTGTAGCGAAATCTTCTGTCTATGTAGCTCCTCAGAGGGAGCCACAGAATGTGCCAAATCAACTTCCTTTATCACCTTCATTATGTCTGTGGAGCGTTTCATCTTTCTTTTCCTCTCACCTGCATTATATGAAATGATTTAACCTTGTATATAAGCTTTTAGGGACTCCCACAAATACTACTTCTAATCTCAGAATCATTTAGTTCTAAGAAAAAGACTATTTGAGAGTTTATGAATTTTTTAAAGTTGTCATCTGCCAGTAGCCGGGTATTAGGACGCCACGTTTGCTGAGGTGGTGTATTCTCAGGAAAACTAAGTTTCAGCATGACTGGGCTATGATCGGATATTACTATACCAGAATATTCTATATCTGTCACTATAGGGGTCAATTTATTATCTAATAAAAAATAGTCAATTCTAGTGTACATCTGATGTGGTGGGGAGTAAAAGGAGTATTGCCTGGAGGTTGGGTTTATGAATCTCCACGGATCAAATGCCCCATATCACAAAAAGAATTAATGCATTGTGCTGATTTACTCAATACAGTGGTTGTTAGGCTAGAATGGTCCAAAGTTGAATCTAATAAACAATTCAGATCTCCCCCTAAAACCAGATTATGAGTATCCAAATCAGGCAATAGTGAGAATAGGTCCCTAAAAAATTGCACATTATCCCAATTGGGTGCATATACAGTATGTTTGCCAACACTACCAGCATATTGAATAGCTTTTCTACTACAATAATGTACTGGCCATGTTTATCCCTTATAGAAGTTGTTTCTATAAATTGTACATTCCTGTGTATGAGGATGGCCACTCCCTTACTCTTACTATCAAAATTCGAGTGATAGATTTGATTAAATCCCCCCCTGCAGAGCTTGAGGTGGTCCTTGTTCAATAAACGGGTCTCCTGCAAGTAAACTATCTCTGCTCCCTGGTCTCTCAAATGTGAAAATACCTTATTCCGCTTAGCTGGGTTATTAATTGCTCTTACATTCCAGCTCATCAATTTTGTGTCCATTCTGCTCACATTTTTATTTGATGCCATGTCAGGAGTCTGCAGCCTGATGTTGCCATTGATTTTCTTTTATTAATCATTATATTTCATTGTGCAGACATGCCTCGTAAGGAGAGGAGGTGGAAGCAAAAACAAAAGGAGCTGCGTCAGGCTGCTAAAGGCAGTGGATCCCTCACCAGCTGGGTGAAGAGCACAACAGATAAGAATAACACATGTACCAGTTGTTTACATTGCAGAGGTATTTCATGTTACATTCTTTATGAATATAGGTTGCTATAATTCAGCTAGTTATGCTGTAAGTTATGTCATCATAAGTCTTGTTCCATGTGCCCCTTTTTAACATTCAGTACCTGCCCCTCCATAGGTCTTTGCATGGCCCTGTGAAACTGGACTAATTTAAAGGACAACACAGTTCATTGTGGTTTTCTTTAATAACTTGTCTTCACACAGCACATTCTCAGTTGTTCTATTTAATGTGTTATGACTTTTAATAAAGTCCACAAATAATCTTCAAATATGGCTTTTAATTGTAGGTGCAGTCAGTCCCAGTTCTGAGAGTCTGAAATGCTCTCCTTGTGGGTACCTTCAATCCTGTAATGACAATATTAACTTTAGAATGTCTATGAATCAAAGAGTTCATCTACCTATAAAACATAAAAACACAGAGAATTTGTCTATCACAATATTATTCTCAGCAATTCTGCATATAGTTTGCCCTTTACATAACAGTTCTCAGTTTATGCACACAATATAGTGAAAGTATGAAAATCAGAGAACCACTTCAGCAAGTTTGTTTTTATTTGGTTCGAGAAGCGCATCAGGGCCAGCATACAGTCATCTCACAGCCCTCCAGAAGGCAAAGTTAAATAAGTGAACTGACCTGGGAAATGGCTTTAATTGAAACATGTAACATGTGTAACATCTAATACAGGTTGGCTAAAGAATCAGATTACATGAACTCTTTTAAACAAACATTTTCAAGGCAACATTTCTTCTGGAACAGAGTGGGCTCCAGAGAGACACGGTGGACAGGAAGTGTCCTTCTTAGGTGCTCTTCTTCTCCTCAAAGATGATGTTTGCTGTGGCTCTCTTGGCTGTGGACAAAGTGACACACAGACATCAGATGTCTTGTTTGTTATCTGGAGTCAGAAAGCTACAAACACCCTCATTTTTGTTCATTGCTAAGCTACAGTCAGTGAAACTCAACACTTCCTGTTCATGTTTCACATTACAAACTAGGGCATTAACAGAAAAGTCGATTTGTCGACGTGTCGTCGTCAGTGGCACAAGTCGACACGCCCCGGGAGGAGTCGACAAGTCGTGTGTTTTTTCCCTCTCTCTCTCTCTGTGTACTTGTGTACGGAATGCAATCGCTGCCTCTGATTGGCTTACGCTGATACTTTATCATTGACATACTCGGGCGTACTACAAGCAGAGCAGACTCTGCGAGGAATGTCCGCAGTCATTCGGGCTTTCATAGTCGAGCGCACTTCCGCCTTGTAGTTTCCTGTAAAATGTCTGTGAAAAATCCCCGCGATGTGAAAAATACATGCCGAGCAGTCACTGGTGCGCGGAGCAGAGTCCGCGTGGTTGTAAAATCTGAGCTTTGCGCACACAGGGCTTGCGGACGTCCGCTTTGAGTCCGTTCCGCGTACGTTCTGCCCGAGTATGTTCGGGCCTTGACAGACACACATCACATGTGTGGAAATACTTCACTTTCCTCCGCCATGTCAATGTGATGATGTCAACAAATGACTTGTCGACTCGACTTCGACTTTATTGACAGATAAGTCGACCTGAAAAAAATCAAAGTCGTTAATACCCTATTACAAGCTCACCTGAACCGGAAGGAAAATGTCATCAGAGCCACTGTAAGACTGAAACATCAGTGTAAGAATGTAGAGATTCTCTGACATGAGCAAAATCTAAATAAAAATGCATTAATACAGGATAAGATGCATTAAAACAGGCCCAACCTGATGGAATTGATATCATTAGCCCTTTTTACACTGCCTCTTCTAGGTGGGAATTCCATGCCGTTACACCTCACTGTACTTTGTAAAAGGTATGATTGTGGAATGGGGGGACAGAGCTGTCTCGCCTTTAAGCCAGCATCAGAGGTAACAGCGCTGAAATTATGTCTGTATAAACGGGACAGCCGGCAGGGTGGCATGGGTGTGAAGTTTTGACGACATGTTATGGATGTGACCCACCACTGGAGATTTAAAAAGTAGGACCAGGAGCTCTTTATCCTCTGAGCAGAGGACAAGATCAGCCGCCATAAAACAGGGATGGTAAATGATAGTTAATGACATGTTAATGCCATTGTTATTGTTTATTAGGGTGATATGGACAAAAAATCATACCTCTGTATTTTCAGGCTCAATGGCCATACACAATATACTGTATATCATCACAGAATAACAGAACAATATATAAATCCATTGTAGTTTGAAACAATTAAAAATCTATGTTGGTGGTGGGGGGAAGTTAAAAAGTGGTTCTCCTTGGCATTTCAAATAAATCTGGTGCTGGAAAATGATTTAAATATTTTTATTTATTGAGGCTTTTAATCTTATTTATGCACATGGCATCAACAGAGAGGCCAAGGGAGGGAAGGAGTAAGAGACACTTTGTCCGTGTTATATACATCTTGTACATGAAACGTCTGTGTTGTCGTTGCATTTTTTAAAAAACATTTGTCGCCTGCATCTAGGCACTGTCTGTCACACAATAGACTACAACTACCAGCGATGCGCTATAATCCACCTCACACACACACTACCAAACAAATGCTCACCTGACACAATCAAGCAGCTCTGCCTCCCACACATGCAGGGGTACTACACATGTGCTACTGCAGTCAATTCATTCATCTCACAGACTGATTTAGTGTAACATGTGCAACATATAGGCCAATGTGCCACTGTAGACTAATTAACAGACAGATTAAACAGAGTAGCAGCTTTGTGTCTCTCTGAGTGTTGCTGGAGAACTGGTGAGTGAGTGTGTGGGGCAGAGCTGTGTGGAGAGTGTGAGAGGAGAAATGCTCACTGGTATGCCTTATGTAATGCAACTTGACCCTATATCAATATAAACGGTATTGTCCAAATCAATATCTTGCTTGAAAATAAATCAATATACTGTACATAGTGGTTCTATCGTCCAGAACTATTGTTTATAAAGTGCTGCTGGTGTGGATGTTACAAGCCACATTAGAAGCCAGTGCTGTTGTGTTACATTTCACGTTTGTCACGTCTCTTTTGCTTCCGTGATGCCAGCATGCTGTCTAAAACCACACACTGGAGTAGCATTAGGCCGCTGTTGTTTGGTTCTGTGTAAAAATACAAAGGAGTCATAAAGATGAGACTTCATAGCAGCTCAAAAGTGCCATCACTGTGTTCTTTGTTTTACTGTTTTACTGTTAACTGTTTTTGTTATCTTTCACATAAAGTTTCCTTAAATTTTGTGCCAAATGAGGGGCATCGGTGGCTTAGTGGTAGAGCAGGTGCCCCATGCCGCAGCGGCCCGGGTTCGACTCCAGCCTGTGGCCCTTTGCTGCATGTCTCTCCCTCTCTCTCTCCCCCCTTCACACTTCACTATCCTATCAATTAAAGGCAAAAAATGCCCTAAAAAATATCTTAAAAAAAAAAAAAAATGTGCCAAATGACAACATTTGAGTGATTTGTTTACTTTGGAATATTAGAATTAGTGGTGTCACAATATACTGGTATTGACAATAAACGTGAGACTTAAAAATTACATTTTGATATCATGTTAATAATACACATATGATCATATTGTGAAAATATTCCAGCATCTCCTAAATCCTTTTTTTTCTTTCCATTCTTGCTTTGTCTCCCTTCTCCAGTGCTATCTGGTTGCCTTTTACTATCCATTAAGTGTAACTGCTCTTTTTGCATGATTTTTTACAGTTATGATTTAAGTCTCTCTCTTTACCTTCCTATACTTGCATTTTGAGTGGAAGTCATTTGCCAAAGAAAGGCAAAAACACACAGTAAAGAAACGTAAAGATGACTGACTGATAGTATTATTACTATTATTATTAGTTTCAAATTTACTATAGATATCATGATAAAATTGTTACCATGAACTCTTTTGGCCACAATAATCGTGTAATCAAAATCTGACATTGTGCCAGTCATAATATTGGCTAATATAAATATATCAGCAGTGGTGTAGTGGTAGTTGATGAGGTGGGTGTACTACTTGATAGATAGGTAGGTTACTGAGGAGGAAGTGGGTAGACTCTCCTATTATATTCCTAAGGCTTTTGGGCTGATAGGTGGGTATGCTGTAAATGGCCAGAAAAAGACAGGCATACCCCATATACCCTCCACTGCACCACTGCTTATTGGCTTTTTTTCACTTTTCTTATAATTCCAGGCTCTATTTACTGTAAACAATACACAAACATGTTGACTGACTCACCCTCATCTTTGAACTTGTCAGCAGCTTCTGATGCCTTGTCCTTGAGATTCTTCACTGCGTCATCAATCCTGGCTTCGTTCTTGAGGAAGAATGGTCGAATGATGCGGTTGTAAATCTGGACTGATCCGTTAGAGGGAGTTGGAGCCATGCACCACACCAAGAAGGCACACTGGGAAAGAAGACAGAAGCTCTCTCATCAAAGCAGAACAGGACACAGACATCACAGTCACATTACAGGCTGTGCTGATGAAACTGGTCTCCAAGTCTCAGTTTAAAGCTGTCAGTTACTCCACTTCATAAGAAACTCAACTACACAGAAGCTTTTGCTAAAAGAAGGTATTTTGTGAAGTCTTAAACTGATTATTCAGTTTACTTCTACAGCTTACAATTTTTCTATTCTAAATGTAGCCGTTACCATGATGTAATGACATGTTTAACTGCATGTGGTGCAACTACAGCTGAAAAGGATTCAGAAGTTTCAATGGTGCAAAGGTAATTAGTCATCTGTCATTACTGCAATGTAAGTATGAGTACATATAAGTACACATAGGTCCACAGAAATATAATGACTTGCTGTTATCTCTCCTCTACACAGATAAGCAGACAGTTTACCAGTATGCCTACATGTGTTCAATCAGTCTGTATCAAAGAAGAAATGACACTGAGCAGTGGGGCTGAAACGATTCCTCGAGTAACTTGAATAATTGGATTACTGAAAAGCCTTGAGGCAAATTATTCGGTAAACTATACAGTGCAGTTTCTCGTAAATGTTTATTTCTATCAGACAGCAAGCTTATGTTACTTCCGCTGTAGAGCTATAAATTAATTATCAATAATCTGTCTGACGTGTTATAATGAAGATTGAAATATCACTGCCATGATGGTTTGCAGGTAGGGCTACATGTGACGAATTAGTGGCACGGGCACTATTAATAGCCACAGCCGTGCGTAATGGTCGCGCGTAATGACAGCTGTTCTGTCAGAGAACCACGTTGGTGCGAGACAGTCTGTAAAACTGTACTTCTTCCCTGCTGTATTTTTATCTGACAGATCTAATGAGTAGTGGAGCGGGCACAGATATCAATATGCAAACTGACTGAAGGGTGTTTCTGCATCAATTTGAGTCTCACTGTGCAGTGTTTCCCCTATATACAACCAGCAGCGGCCGCCGCTGCTGATTTATTTATTTTTTTCCGTCTTAGCTCTTTAGAAACTATTAGTTATATTATTTGGCACTATGGACACTTCATATCCAGGTCAATTCACACAATTGTGAGTAAAGCATATAAGAGGAGAGGAGAGGGCTCTGTCTTGATGTGCACACAGACACGTGCGCACACACACAGGTGAGCACGCTAGAGTGCGGTTCGGGCCACATTTTCCTGACCAAACCCGACCCGAGCCCACCGCAGTTTGTTACCTGACATAGTTATTGTTATGGACAGTGTGTAAATAACCATCAAAAGACTGGTGTTACGCACAGCCAAACACACACGCGTTCAGGCATTGTCACGTAAATAACAACTTCCAGCAGGTCATAGCATAAAATAGCAGCATGTGAAGTGACATGCCCCATGCATCATAGAAAAGCTACTTTGTGATCTAAATGTAACCAAAACTGTCACATTCTTATATAATCTACAATCAGCAGACAAAATGTCTTACAGCCTCTGAGCTGCTGGGCCAGCAGGCTGAGGACAGCAGACACCAGCAGACTCAGACTAATTTTCAAGTCAATACTGTCATAGAGGTGGAGCTGGACTCTCTGGTGGCAGTGTCAGAGAGGAGGATGCTGTCTAAGATACATGTCAACTTGGACAGTGTCTCCCACACGCTCCACAATGTGCTGATCAAACACAGGAGCACATTCAGTGATAGACTTATTTCCCCAAGATGCACCACAGAGTGCCACAGGAAGTCATTCCTATCTGTGGCCATCAACCTGTACAACTCCTCCCTCAGAGTGTCAGACACTCTGAGTCAGCAGACCAACACCTGGACTTAATTCACCTATCTGCATTTATAAATCATAAATCTATCAGGTTTCTACTGTGCAATAGTTACTTAAGGTACAGTTATTCCTTGCAACACTGCCTTAACTGTGCAATACCGTGCAATAATTCAACTACCACAATATTCTGTGTAATAATTCAACTGCTGCAATAATTCTGTAGTATTCTTATTCATTTTCATGAACACCTCTTGAATGTATACATTTGTTAAACATATTATGCACATAACTCTTATTTCCTTCTTATTTTTGTCTTAACTTTATTAATGTATATATTGCAGTGAACATAATAGCATAATACATATTTTATACTTCTGAATATAAACACTAGTTTAAACTGTGTAATGTAGCAAGGTGTATATTTTTACATCCTTACAGACTCAGCACAGTGAACATATGGTTTAAGTACTTGGGTTAACACTGTAGCATAATGCACATTTTATTTCTATTTTTTTTTATTTTAATAATTTATATGTACATACTATTTCATATTCTTATTCTTAGTTCTTACAATTCTCTATTCTTTACATCCGAGCGACTGTAATGAATCATAACTTCTCCTCAGGGATCAAGAAAGTATTTTTGACTCTGATTCTGCAACAACACATAGTCCAGCATGTGATAACCTCATTTGCATACAATTTGCATGAATTACTAATTTCTGCCCTTGAATTACTTACTTTGTGCTCCCTAATAAAATTGTGCACACAAATGAACAGGATATACCATGAGATAATATAGTTAACATTTTATTACATGTTTAAGGGATATTAAAAGTAAAGTGTGTAAGATTTAGGGGGATTTGGTAGCGTCTAGCTGTGAATTGCAGATTATAACCAGCTAAAACTCCTCCAAGCTAGAGATCTTTCAATATTCATTGTTCAGGAGGTTTTTACTGGGAGCTGAATAATCCAGAGGTTTCTTTCTCCCAAAACAAAGCAGTGAAACCAGGTGAAACAGATAAAAACACTACACGAAGCAGCTTCACATTACAAACCAGTGTTTCTCCAACGCTGTTTGGCATGTCTATGCGGGCTGCTTGCTCACCACCTGCTAATTTGTGCTCAACTTTTTTCTTGATAACTTCAGATCCAGACGTTCAGGAGGTTTTTACTAGCAGCCGAATTATCCACAGAGGTGTTTTCCCTCTCCAAAACAAATGGACCACGTAAATAAAACTGCTAAAAACACTGAGTAAAGCAGCTTAATGTTACAAACCAGTGAAACTTCAATGGTGCTCATTGCAGATGGGCTTTTGTCTATGATGGCCAGTGCGAAATTGTGCATGTCCTTGTCTAGAGCCAGTGTTTGGTTTGTATGTTTTGGGCTACTTTAAAAACATGGCGGTGCAACATGGCGATCTCTGTAGACGAGGACTTGCTCCCTCTGTAGACATAAATGGCTCATTCTAAGGTAACGAAAACACAACAGTTCTTATTTTCAGGTGATTGTACAACAAAGAAAACATACTGATTATATTATAAGTGCTATATCGTAGGCAACTGGACTTGCTTGCGTTTCTTGAAGATGCCTCTTTCAAACCATCTTTCTTCCCTGGCCAAGACGTGCACGTGGCTGTCCTCGAAAAGAGTGTCCCTTCTCCTGTAGATGTAAGTGGACACCTGAGTCTTGACCTGAGGAGCTGGCTCTCCTGTGCTGTGCCATGTGCTTGTGGAGAGCCAGCTCCTCAGGTCAAGACTAAGCTGTCCACTTACATCTACAGGAGAAGGGACACTCTTTTCAAGGACAGCCATGTGCACATCTTGGCCAGGGAAGAAAGATGGTTTGAAAGAGGAGTAAAAGAAGCCATCTACGTCAAACCGGAACGACCATCATTAAACAGAAGAAGTGGATTACGACATCACTTATCACCCACGATGCGGTCTTGGGATCCCTCCCTAGACGACTTCACACCATTCACATCTGGTCCCACCTGACCCTAACGACTCACATGATGGCCAGGTCGGTCAACAACTCACAAGATGGCCAGGTGGATCAACGACTCACATTGTGACCTTTACGACTCTGAAACTATGAGCTCACATGTGACCCCAACGACTCCACACCCACACAGAGTTTAAAGCCTGCGGTTCCGCACCAGTCATTTAGAACTGAAGTAGCATCTTGGATGAGAGGCGAAATGTCTTCAAGAAATGCAAGCAAGTCCAGTTGCCTATGGTATATCACTCATGATTACCATTACCTGGATGACTGAGAATCTTCACTGACATACTGATTATATTCTATTCAGTTTCTGCTAATATACCCCCCTAAATCCTACACGCTGGACATTGTTAGCAGATACCTACTGTGTGACATATAACTGCCACAGCACACAAGTGACTGTTAAGACCACCCGTTAAATGCAGTTTGGTTTATATTTTGGAGAGATATGAATATACTTCTTTTTTGTTTGTTAAGTCATGTGTTATCTTTTACATCCATAAAATATGTTAAATGTCACAAATATATGTTAAATGCTGTTCTATTAATTTGTGCAAATAAATTATTGATCCAAGATCAAAACTGATTAATTTATTTATATGGATATATTTTGTTTCAATACAGTAACAGCTGTAGGGTCTGACAGTGTGTCTGTCGTGGACCAGCAGCTGGTTCACAGCAGCCTGCAGAGACTGTGGCTACACATTATAAATTAAATTACATTATATGTAAATTAATGAGATTAAAACATTAAAATATCACAACAAACGCTGCCATGCTCTGACTGGACATGTATCTCTCAGGCAGCTTCTTTGTCACTGTGTCATTTTCTCCCTGCCTGTGATGATTATCACACATACTGGAGATCCCTTAAGCAAACACAGGCCTTCTCTGCACTACTGGCTGCTGGTGAACTTGCTTACAGAGTTCACAGTACTCAGGCACTCCTTATCATCAGTGCAGTGTGCTCCACCCTCCACATATGATTAGTTAATTCTGCTGAGAAGAACACACACACCCACTGTAGTGAAAAGCTGTGCTCATGGTGGGCAGAGTCCATTGTTTGAATCCACCCATATTTGGCAGCTCCACCAGCCTTCACATTTTGCTCTTTTTTGTTGGTCCACCAAACGAAACAAACCTATACAAAAGTGTGTAGGGTTTGCACAATATGAGATTTTAATATTATCAGTCAGAACAACCATCAAAGGAATGAAAACAGAAGAGCTGTTGTTGGTTCAACAAACATTTTGTTACTATAATTGAAACTTGAAATCATTTTGTTAATGGAAGTTTGTGTAAAAAGTCTCCCTTTTGAAAATAACTAAAATAAAGGGGAGATTCTCCTTCCAGTTGCATTTTTTTCAGTATTGTAAATAAGCAAATGTACACAGTATGATATCTGGCAACTGTTGCATCACGGTATACCTTGAAACTGGTATATCACTGCAACCCTAAGGTACTTGTTTAATGCAGGGGATGTTAATTTAAATGAACACCTGCATGGACAGAAATATGATATGAGGAGAAATCAAGTGATACTTAACCCAAAACTGATCCCGATGGCTGTGTCATCGGTGTGTCTTTATCTGAGTAGCCTCGGCTATCAGTGTGTGAATGTTAGTGTGAATGGTTGAATGTGACAGGCAGAGTTACAGGGCTTTGAGTGGCCAGAAGACTGGAAAGGTAATTTATAAATCAGTTATTAGTTAATTGGTTTAAATAATTTAACAGATCAAAAATGTATTAGCCAATAATGCATAAGATGAGGGGTGTATGGTGTAATGGGCAAATATGTGGAGCAGGGATACATTGCGTCACATAGGCAGGGCAAAGCGGGATTTTACCTGCTACACAGATTCTGTCTCTGCAGCGTGTGGTTGCTGCCAGCTTCATTGTGTGTGTGTGTGTGTCTGTGTGTGTATTGAGTTTTCCCAAGTGATAACGCAGTTGATCATGAAAAGTTTTGGTATGTTTGCTAAGTATTTAGGCTACATTAACTGGTACTGAATTATCTGATTGGATCATTTTAACAACAGGAAGCCTTGATTGATTTATTTTAATGTGAAATGTAAACACACACAAGGTAGCACAATGCCCACGCACATGTGGGCGGACAGCGGGTGAGAACTATATTTTTTAATTTTTCGGAATAAAACAAATGAAAAGATGTGCAGTATATGGGTAATATTTTGACATCTAAATCCCGATTATCAAGCCGCTATTCCTTTTATTTTGAAAGTCAGTGACACAAGTTGAACCTTTGACCTTGTTGTCACCGCATGGGGGACTTCACAGTGAAACTTTGCAGCCCGAGGATGAGGTGGCAGCCAACATCGAGTTCAAAACGACCAAGGAGGATCCTTTTGAGGTTTTATGGCAGTGACGGAGCATGCTAAAACGCTTCCTAACCTGGCAGTGATTGAATGTTTTTGCCATCGTGGCACTGAGCGCTGCCAGTGAAAAAGATGTCTCCTCTGCTGGATTTGTAATTTAAGAATGGAGAACCCAGCTTAATGTAAGTGACTGTAGCCTGTGTGTGCTTAATCACAGGTGCGGGTCGGGTGTGGCTTTGACTTAGACATAATGACTGGTAACAGGTTGGTTCTGGTACTGAGCTTTAGGTGGGTGGGTGCAGGTTTTAAAAAAATGGACCCATGCAGGACTCTGGCCTGCCTCACGCTGCTCACTGAAGCGGCCCTGTTGATTGACATAAAGTTGTGATAATTCCTCGGCGTTGTTTGTTGGCTGTGCAGTTTGGCCAGGGTCATGCTAACGCTAAACTAGCATTTTGGACAGAAGCAGCTGCTGGAATTCAATTAAATGAGGATACTTTAAATCAAAGCATGCCATTTTTTTATGGGTATTTCCCCCCAAATCGGTTCACTTTTAAAAGGTTCACTTTTTAAATTGAAATTATGCTGTAAAAACTGTAACCATGAAACTGTGACATTTTCTGTGAATGTTATTGTAAAGTGAAAATCTCATAACGTTGCAGTCCCGGTGCTGGCTCATAAGACACCAAAATCAAGAGGGGAAAGCTGCACACTAAACTCATTTTTACTTTTATGAATATTTTTTACTGCACATTTGTCAACACATTGATTAAAACAAAATCGAACACATCAGACCCCAGCTGGATTACCTTTCCGATATAGTAGAACGGGAACCAAGAGAGGAAGATGTCAGCAAAAAACTCTGCCACACTGAAGACTCCATACACCACCCAGTAGGTAAGCCATTTAGTATCATCATCTTTGGTGGCACTTTCAATGGCCTTAATCCTGGAGAGAGAAAGGAGCAACATGTTAGATAAATACTTTGATATATGAAGTCAACTTAACTCTCACTCTTGAAAAAGAAACTGGTGACTGTGTTCGAGAGAACACAAACTCCTTCGTATTCTCTCTTTCCTTTCTTCTCTTGTTCTGTCACCCATGGAGCCTTATATTGCACTGTCTTTCTAGAACAGTCTTGACTACTTCAATTAGGGATGCATGATTTTTTTTTTTTTTTTTGCAGATATCCAATATGCCGATATGTAATAACTCATTTGGCCAATAGCTACCAATATCGATATATCCACTTTTTTCCCCCCACCTAATTCTAGTGATCATCAAATCTCTTCTGTGGGGAAATTAACATCATATTATGCATGCATACCCTTATTGTGATGGCCCACCAGCAGATGGAGAGGTGAAATACAATACTTTTCAATGTATGCAATATTCATTCATTGTGCAAAATGGGCGGCATGGTGTTACAGTGGATAGCACTGTTGCCTCATAGCAAGAGGGTTCTTCTAAGGTACTGCACTCAGTGTGGCGGACCCTCCACATGAGCGTGGAAATAGAGTGAAAGTGGGTAGGGAGAGGGTGCAGGGGGTGGTTTGGGAAAGGCCCCAAACCTTTCCAGAGCCACAGAAGACATTATATGTCTGTTTCCTCAGGCTGAGTAGTTCTATCCACGACTATTAAACTAACCTTGATGTGTTTAATTGGAGTGCTCCTTTAAATCTCTGCAGCCACCTGAGGGCAACAGGTCAGTTATGTGTCATACAGTGAAACTTAAGCATTAAGGTGCTCTGGAGCAGGGGATCAGTTTGACTGATGCTTATACTCTTGTTCTATCACTGATAACATTTAATATTTTTAGGCTCAATGAGATAATGATTGTAAATAATTACTATGCCAGCTACAGCCACTGAAAAACTAGCCTCTGTAAATTAGCTCCCAATAAATTATAAATGCATCATTACAGTCAAATGACCAATAATTTACTTTCTTCAAGCATTTCTTTTTACACATTTTCATCTTTTCCTCTCTGTGTTACCAATTGTAACAAAGTTTTAGTGATTTTTACTTATTTACAATAGTTTGTTGATTATGATACAAGAACCTTTGCAAACAAATATCTTATATTTGGAATTAATTTTGATTACTTTGTACAGATGAGTTTTCACCTGACAATAAAGGGTTCTTTTCTGTAGTAATAGTAGTAGTTTTATTTGGTTCAGTAGTTAATTAAACAGATGCATTCCAGAAAAGCAGTACATATAAATGAATGAACCAAAAAGGTGTAGGCTGAAGCCGTAGCTTATATGATGCCTACCCTTTTTACACTACATCACACCAAAACAAAAACAAAAAGTGTTCCAACAAAAACAAAAAGTGTTACAGAGATCAATTACAACGAAAATCATGTGATATAGGCTTAGGAAATTTACAGGAGAAGCTGCCCAAGGAAACTTAATATACTTGGTCATACCAAGAATTTATATTTATCAATTGCCCTAAGTTTAAACATTTTTTGAATTTACAGATAGAACTACACATTTTTAACTCATCACAGAGACTATTCCACAAGTTTACCCCTTTAACAGAAATACATCTACTTCTGAAGTTTGTCCTTACTTTAATTTTTTTAAACACACAAATTCCTCTGAGTTCATACCGACTTACTCTGGGAGAAAACATTTTGAATGCAGTAAGGAAGTAGATTGTTGTGGGCTTTGAACATTATAAGAGAAGTTCTTAATTCAACGAGATCATCACATGAAGTCCACAGTGATTACAGTTTTTCTCGATTGTTTACACACATTTTCTGAAAGCATGCCTCATACTCTCAGAACTCTACACACAAATCAAAAAACACACACACACAATGGGCAAAACCCCTCAATTCTCCTGCAAAATGAAACTTTACATTCAAACCAATGTTATTTCTTCTCAAAATGGTATTTTGTTTTCAAATGACACACACAAACCATCATATGAATAGACATTTATAAGAACCAGTTGAACACTGATGTGCTCAATGTAAAACACTATGATGAATGGAAAACACTTCTTCTCCATTCATCATAATGACTTTGGCCTTTTTTTTGTTCAGTGTTACACTTACTACAGACAGTACATACATAAGTGTGATGTAAAACATTTTAGAATATTGTTTTTATACTCAGAACACACAAATACACGGTAACAAATATATTTTATTTTTCCCACAAAAACAATGTACACAGTGTACATTCCAACCAACACAAAGTTACACATACAGTGGTCTACATACAAAACAACAGATGAATTTACTGTATACAGTTACAGTAAAAAAACAAAACAAAACTATGCTGCCACATGTGGCTCGGATCTCATCAGAGATTACGGTCCTTGGCCTTCCTCGTCCTTGTCCTCCCCGTCCTCCTCCTCTTACTCTCACTCCTCTGGCTCTGGCTCTGCCTCTGTTTCCAATGTTGGCATCCATTGCTCCAAAACAGAAAAGCTCACCTGTTGCCCTTTTATGCTAAAGCTCTGATTGCTAATTGTAAAACTGTGTGACAGGTGTTTGCCCATGTGATGAGTCAGTGTGCATAGTAGGGCAATTAACTTTAGAATTTGTTTGTGTTCCTTGTGAAAACAAGAGATTTTCTTCATGAAAATTGTGCCAAATGCAGAGAATTGTGTGTAGTGTTTTGAAAAAAAGTGTGTTTTAGAACTGCAATTTGAGTGTAAAGCAGGAATTGTGCTTGTAGTTTAGCAGAATTGGTTCAGGGGGTTGGTGCATGAGTTACATGTTGTGGTCATTGTGCCTCAAGTACCAGTATTTGTGTGTAAACAACTGAGAAAAACTGTAAATGTTGTACTGTAAGATCATAAAGTATGACAACTTTTAAAAGGGGTGAGTACTTAGGCCTTTTTGCGCTATTCATCATTTACTAAATGAAATTCTTCGCAAAGGTTGTTGTACCAAACACAGCTATTCAATACATTTACCAAATGTGCTGTTTAAATAGAGCCTGTTGACCTGTTACAAGTATATAACAAGGTTACAGAGACACATGGTGGTGTCCTGTTATTTTGTTCCTGTTTGTTTTCATTAATCTTCCCTCTTGTCAAACACATAGCAGCTCTTAAGGATGTGTGCAACAGCACAAAGAAAGAGGAAAAAAGAAAAGAAAGAAGAAAATAGAAGAAGAGAGAAGAATATAGTATCGGTAAGCACTAAGGCAAAGCAAATTTATTTATACAGAACATTTCACACCCAAAGGCCACCCAAAGTGCTTTTATAGATTACACAGGTAAGAGCACAAGAGGCAAATCAGTAAAACTATAAAAGCAGGCAGGAGCACAGTTAATAAAAACAAAGGTAAAGAGGCAAAAGCACACAAACTGAAATATAAAAAAAACTATATGTATATATATATATACTATATGTGTTTTCTCATGAGGCCTGTTTCTACTAGCAGTCTTTATCATGTATTTCTATTCTCCCTGAGGCCTGTCTGTCTCAGTATAAAGGCTCCTTTCTGTTTCAGTCACATGTTGCCAGCTTCAATAATGCAACTACCAGAACTGACAAACAAGCTCAACTGTTCACCAGATCATCTCAACAATCCCTAAGTTAACTCCAAAACTCAACGACCTGGGAGGAAATGATGGGCTGTCTGGGTGTTACTGATTATATAGTAAAGTCAGGACAAAATACTAAGACCATACTAAGACCTTTTGTTTCATAACAATAAGCTTACAGCAGTATGTGCAGGCTCACAGACAAGCAGCAGTATGCAGTATGTGTAGTAAGAACCTTGCTTTTTAAAGCAAAATTTTAGAGAAACTTGTTTTTAACCAGTAAAATGCTTTTATGAGCAGTCACAATATTTATGAAAAATATCAATCCGGTTTTTGGACTAATCACAGTACAGAGACGGCACTGGTTAAAATTGTTAATGACCTCAGGTGCAATATGGATATGAAAAGTCCTTCCATATTAGTACTACTTGACTTAAGTGCAGCATTCGATACAGTAGACCACTCAGTCCTTCTAGACTCCACAGTGTGATTGGCATCTCTGGTACTGTTTTTAACTGGTTTAAATTAGGGCTGTCCCAAACGATTATTTTTCTAACTACATATAAATGAATGAACCAAAAAGCGATTATTTTTTTCGATTGATCGACTAATCTAACGATTAATTTTTTGATTAGTTAAATGATCATTTTTTTGATTATCGATTATTTTTCCATTATTTGATTAATGAGGCAATTTAAACAATATGACTACCAAAACATTTCTTATTAACATTAACATTAACATTTATTGGGGCGTCGGTGGCTTAGTGGATAGAGCAGGCGCCCCATGTACAAGGCTGTTGCCGCAGCAGGCCCGGGTTCGACTCCAGCCTGTGGCCGTTTGCTGCATGCCACTCCCACTCTCTCTCCCCCTTTCACACTTGTCTGTCCTATCAAATAAAGGCTAAAAATGCTGCAAAAAATATCTTTATAACATTAACATTTATTGAAACATCTGTGTTTCGGGGGGGCAACCTATTTTTACCTAATTTTTTTTTCTATATAGCACCAGATCACAACAGAAGTCATTTAAGGTTACCTTTGCTATAGAACAGGTCTATACCTTGTCCTTTTATTAAACAAACTAAATAGCCTCATGTTTTTCATCTTATGTAATTTCTGTCTCTACATGGTCGCACCTTTACAGTTCTCCTCTACGCTCTGTAACATGCAAGGTGGAGGTCTGCCCAGATGCGCGCACAAACACACACAAACATGTGCACGCACGCGCAGCACTGCTGCTGCCGCTGTCATTTTTTTGTCTGAACCGACGACGACGACGACGATAACAATGTCAGCGCGTCACCCCTAGCCCTAGTTTAAATCTTATCTTAGCGACAGAGTATTCTTTTGTAAATATTGATGAATGTTCATCAACAAGCTACAAAATGAACTGTGGAGTTCCTCAAGGTTCCATTTTAGGTCCTACTCTTTTTA